GGACAATCTTAAAAATGCTCTTAACTGTGAAACATGAGCATACACTTTATATTTTATTATATTGATATAATATCTAAATGTTCCTAGATCTAGATTCTAATTGTTGCTTCTAATTTTACAACATTTATTTTTTTTACAGAAATATGACATGTTTGAAAAAGAAAAGTTGAATTTATTTATTCAAATCCATAATTATTCAATTGCTAGAATGAGTAAAGATTAAGAAAACAGGGCTGTGCATCTTCACCTTACAAAGAACAATGATCTCAATGTTTTATGTGGAAACGAAAAGCCTTGACAGTCCAGTACACTGTATTTGAAACAGAGATCTATATAAATATATATTACTTTTCCCACAAACAATTATGTCTTCATGTGCTGCAATTACCTGAGCATTTCAATATAAATTTTTTTACAGATTTCACTCAAATAAAAGTTTGTACTGAATAGGAATGATTCACTACAGCAAGGCATTTTATTAATAGTTTAGTCTTACAAGATCCCAATGTTTCTGGTGACAATAGCTTAACATCTAAGGAACATTTTAATCACATGAAGAGCACATAACTGTTATAAAATTTAAAAGTTCCAATGGAGTAAGTAAGATGACCTTCATTTGCAGAGAGGATAAATCATTCACATGTGAAATTTGCCGCGAAGAATTTAAAAAAAAATATTTACAAAATCACCAGAGAGTTCATACTTGGAGAACAAAAATACAAATGTTACTTATGCAGCAAAGGTTTTTACCACCGCTCCAAACTGAACAGACACGATCTGTGCCATTTCAAACAAAAAACTTACAGATGCCTGACCTGCAACAAGACATTCTCTATTCTATCGAAGCTTAAGAGACATCTGATGAAGCACACAGAGAACATGTATAAATGTCCAGTGTGCCAGAAAGACTTTTCCTGTCTGCACTACTTAAACTGTCACCGTAAAATTCACACTGGAGAGAAACAGTTTCATTGCAATCAGTGTGGCAGTGACTTTTCACACCGATCCAACATTGCTCTCCAATTAATTATACACACTGGAGAAAAGCCTTTGAAATGTCAGATAGGTTTCAAAGGATTTTCTGAGAAAGGTTATTTGAAGAAACATCAAGTTGTTTATTCCAGGGAAAAACCTTATCACTGTAACCTTGTGTCATAAGAAGTTTTCTTTCTTATCAAAGTTAAGGAAACATGAAGCTACACATAATACCGGACGGCAGTTCATGTGTCTTACCTGTAACCAGATGTTTTATCTGAAGGAGCAATTAAAGGCTCACCTTTTAACTCCTTTTTTACAGGAGCTGACATCCACAACTGTGAGTTTTGTGGAAAAATTTTTCACTGTAAAACTAAAATGAAGCGCCACCTTGTGGTTCAAACTGGGGAAAAGCCATTCAAATGCTATGTATGCTTTAAAGGATTTTCAGAAAGAGCCTACATGCAAAAGCACCTAGTTGTACATACTGGGGGCAAAAGATTTGTGTGTCAGTTGTGTAATAAAAGATTTCCCAACCCTGCTAAGTTAAGATATCATGAGGTGATTCACAGTCGTCAGTCTATATATAAATGTCTTATGTGCAATAAAGTGTTCTGTGTTTTAAGTAGGTTTAATCTTCATGTGGCTAGTCATATTGAGAACAAATTTACCCTGTGCTCTCTTTGCGGCAGAGCTTTCTCTTCCATCTACAATTTAAAAAGACACCAGGCCCTAAAATGTAAAGATAAAGAAATGAACTTTAAGTTTGCATCGTGTGATGAATTGTTCTTGAAAGATGACATTTCGGAAAAGCATATTTTAAATCTTTCTGAGCAAAATCGAGAAATATCCACTCAGAAATTATGTACGAAGAACCATGAGTCTGATGATGAGGGAAAATCTTTTCACAACAATATGTCAGGTGAAGTAATTCTATACAGACATGGAAACATCAAGGTGTTCCAATGTCACCTGTGTGCTTAAGTTTTCACCAGAAGTAACTATTTAAAAAAACATCACTTGGTTCACTCTGGTGTCAAACCATTTGAATGTGACACTTGTCATAAAGGATTTTCGACTAACTATAATTTGAAAAGACATCAGCTGATTCATAATGAAATAGGAAGCAGTTGAATGTCTTAAGTTTTGAGTGAAAGTAACAGAAAGTTCTTCATAAAAGTAATAGTTGGCTGACTTGTGCCTACAAATGTCAGCCCTGCTTTGGACAAAGTTGTGTACACCATCATTCCACTAGACATGGTTAATTTTCTTTTTTTTTTTACCATAATGAAATCTTTTTAACATGTCATTTATTAGTCATTTTAAGAAATAGCTTAGCTTCATCATAAGTCTAAATATGAGTTGGGGTTTTAACACCTTTGAATCAATTTTTCTTTTTATGATTCTGCAGTTTAAAGTAACATTGATCTTATATATTTGTTTTGCTTTAAAAATAACTCTACATAAATATTTGGATGTGAACTCATGTATCAATGTGTGTTTGATACATTGGTGTTTCTTAGCATAGGAGTGTTTGATACATTGGTGTTTCTTAGCATAGGAGTGTTTGATACATTGATTTTTCTTAATATAGGAGTGTTTGATACATTGGTGTTTCTTAGTATCAGAGTACTGGTATGTGAAGTTTTGTACAGTATTGACTGCATATATAAGATAGGTGTTAGCCTGATCATTCTTATGCAGTATATAGGCAATATTATATATGTAACTATGCTCTTCCTCTGTAAATATTCCCTTTCGATAGAGCTGTGCACATGATAACATCCTCCATTCCATTGAAAGGAATTGAGGCCTATTGAACTTTTGGATAAACTGCAGGTTACTTTATTGTCAGTCTTGTTGTTAGAAATTTCTTTATCACGTGTCATAGACTGCAATAATTCAAACAAGTTTATACAACCTTGTAATTATCATTACACAGATTTTACCTACTCTGTACTTGTCACTAAGTAGACAGACTAAACTGTAAGTTCACATTTCATTGAAGACTAAAGCTATATGTTTTGATTTAGTATTATTTTAGTCTCCAAGCATCTTTGAAAGTGAACTTCAAATCTCAGTAAGTTTTAGTACTAGTGCACAATCAGTGTATAACTATAAGTTTGTTTGGATATTATTCAATTCTATATCATTGTTTTTTGTTGTTTCTTTAACTTGTAAAGATGTGATATTTAGATCTAATTAAAATGAGAGCTTTAATCTCTACTTGTAAATTTATGAAGTTTCAATTTATTTATATTGTGTAAAATAGTCTACAGTTTGTATTGCTCTGTAGAAGCAGAACAAGGGATCAGAAATGAGAAATTAGCACGATAAAAAAAAAATAATTCAGAGCATAGGAGTAAAACTAATGGGCAGTAATAAATGATAAACTTCCTTTTTTTTCTGATTTATTTTTGTTTTTTGTTATGCTTTCCCTTTACTATTCAATTAGTACAAGACAAGAGAATTGTTTTGTCTTTTTTTTTTTTTAGATACCGGTAATTAGGTCTATGTATCTTCCGAGCACATACATTAAATTGTAGAAATAGTTAGCACTTAAAATTGTTATTTTTAAATATTCTAGACTAGAACCTGCCTCTATTTAATGAAAAGTTATCACCAGCAACACAGTTCTATAGGATGGATGGGCTAGAGAAGATATTCATTTATTTATTTAAAAAAAAAAAACACCATAAATTGTACTAAGTATAATATATTAAAGATTTATTTATATTAAAGATGCAGTATTTCATGCGACCACAAAAAACCTGTTACGACCTGCCACATCTGCTACAGACAAAGCTGTTGTCTTTTGGGGTCTATTTAGGTTCTTTTTTTTTTTGGCTGTCTGCGCCTATCTTTGGCAAGGACTTTTCTTGGGTCTTGAATGTGTGTCCCATTGTGAAAGCTCTCTCTTTCCTCTATCATCTATGTGAAATAATAATTAAGAGTATAGGTTAATTCATCCTGGGTTGAATCCTGTACCTATGGGATCTTTTGAGCCTCTCTGAGTCCACCCTGCTCTATTGGGTACCTGACATTATTTGGGGAAAGTAACAGTGGTTGGTTTTTGTGCTGGCCACATAGCACTCTTGTTAACTGTGAGGCACAGAAACAGAAGACCTTTACATCATCGGCCCTATAGATTGCAAGGTCTGAAAGGGGAACTTTTTAAAATGCAGTTAAGATAATTATATCAGTTTATTTTAAAAATCTACCGGATGATTTGGTGAAACAGCCTATTACATCATAGATTAGAAGATGATAATGTTACAACACATTTGAATATAAATAGAATGCTCGCAACAAAAGTTTGCTGTACACATCAGCATTCGACTTTTTGATGGACTATTCTATTGCGTCAGAATCCATTAACAATGTGAACAAAACAAAAAGTTTAAAGAAGCATTCAAAGCTTCCTTTAAAAAATGTTCAAAAATGATTGCTGCTCAATTTGTACAAGGGGTTTGTGCTTTGTGTGAATTATCACAAAATACTGTTAATTGAAATTTTAAAAAATTAAGTCTTTATGAAAGGTATATAAATATCCTATTTTTAAAAAATCATCACAATTGATTCATTAAATTTACTTATCTGTCCTGTTTCTCCATGCTGATTTTGTTTGAGAAACATTTTGTAAAATGTTTTAATACTTGAGTAAGACTAGAACCCATGCAAATGAAATATGCTGGTGCATAATTTTTGTTCTTTTGCTTCTTCTGATTAAGTCAGATACGGCGTCATTTATAAGATGCCAGAAACTGTACAATTTAAGATAAAAATAAAGACACATCACCAGGCATTTAATTTTATTATTACAACAGAACTATGTAAATCATTTATAAAGTGAATTTAAACCAATTAGTTAATCAATTAGTCATAATAAATTAATTTTTCTTTATATGAGTCAACATGCAAAATAACAGACTCGTTTAAATAAGCGTCCTACCTTTCTCTTCCAATGTCAACAAGATGCATGCTTTACTTCATAAACTTTTCACTTCGTAATTATAAAACATGATGACAGAAGATGTTATAATATTTTATAATTGTATAATTGTATTGTAATTATAAAACATGATGACAGAAGATGTTATAATATTTTAAAATGACAGAAGATGTTATAATTTTTTAAAATGACAGAAGATGTTATAATATTTTAAAATGACAGAAGATGTCATAATATTTTAAAATGACAGAAGATGTTATAATATTTTTAAATGACAGAAGATGTTATAATATTTTTAAATGACAGAAGATGTTATAATATTTTAAAATGACAGAAGATGTTATAATATTTCAAAATGACAGAAGATGTTATAATATTTCAAAATGACAGAAGATGTTATAATATTTCAAAATGACAGAAGATGTTATAATATTTCAAAATGAAGTACAGTTATCAAAAAGTAACTAATAAGGTGTATTGTATTTTAAAATAGTTGTTAAAAAAAAGATAAGATTATTTACACACATTTGACAAAATAGAAAGAACTTTTCCTTTATATAAGAGAAAACATTAAAGGGGATAAAAAAATAATTTCCTTAAAATGTCAGAACTTTCTCTCCCTTGATTCGATTCTTTCTCTGTAGTTAGTCTCAAATATTGTATCACGGTAATAGCCTTTTACTATGAACAGACCATTTGAAATATTTCCCTATCGAGTTTGTTTCTTTAGATTCTTAAGATTTAATTAGAATCTGATTATTTCAATGTGAATTTCGGCTAATGTTTTAAAAGAAGGCTAGGAAAAAGTCCATCATTTTCTGAGAATATTATTTAGACAATTTTGGTAAATTTAAACCTAATAGGTTTCTCTGCTTGTGCAAAGGGGAGATAAATGAATCTCTCAAAAGCTGACTCTGGCTGTAGATCAATCTGAAGTTTTTGTAGCACCTAAAATGACAAAAAATTGTAAAGTTTGTATTTTAAATGTTTGTGATTATTATGGACAGGATAAAATATTGAAACTTTCATAAAACTAGTTTTATAGTTTTTTTAGAACAAATAATTTTATTTTAACTTTTTTAAAATTGGGATTGAATTAACACAAGTCCTTGCATTTCCCAAAAATAATAATTTGAAATGGGCAATGTTTATGATAAAGAATAAAAAATTACCTTGACAGCTGCCAAGTAAATTTCTTGGACAGCAAAACGTCGACCTATACAGTTTCTGGGGCCATGCCCAAAAGGTAAGACAATCATGCTTTGAGCTGAATCTTTCTTTGTATTGTCTTCTGACCTCAACCATCTCTCAGGGAGAAACTGATCGGGCTTCTCAAAATGTGTTCTCGCAGGTCTTTTGTTGAACATAAAAACTTTCATCTAGATAAAAGGGAACAAAATTTTTAAATAATTAAGAACATATTTAATGTGTTCAGGTCAATGTTAGTTCATATAAATAATTTTAAACCTTTAAAAAATAATTTACATCAGTTATTTTGTATGCGGTTAGAAAGGTTTTGGCGCAAACATTTTTTGTTTGCAAAGACTTTTTAGGCACGAGAGCTCTGATGATAATTTATAAAACAGAAAACTTTTATAATAAACTTTTTTCCCACTTAAATATATTATATATATTAAACATTCTCCCCACTCCCCGACCTGAAAAAGTAATTTTAATTTTTTTTATTTCATAAATGCATATTCAGAACTATGGATGACTGTCTGGTCGTGCGGTATGCATTGGGAATGCTCGTCTCTATTGCTGCTGAGCTGTGAGCTCTTTTGCAGACTGTGCCAAGGAAAAAAAGTGTGCTGTTTTCTTCAGTTGTTCATCACTGCCGTACAGGGTGTTGGTTATGTTGGGCTGTAGTGGAAGTAGGGTCTGCCTAAGGTGGATTAGGGAGGGGCATTCAAAAAGGATATGGTTTACGGTTTCAAAGGGATAGGCGCAGTGTCTGCAAAGGGGGAGTTGTGTGGAGTTTATTTTGTTCAGGCGGTAATTTAATAGTGGTGTGTGTCCTTATTGACGGAGGTCTGGATTGCACTACACCAGACGGAGGTCCTTGTCTCACTACATTCTAATACTAGATATAAATCCATCATGAAGTGTTTTTTTTTCTAGATCTGGTGAATGTGATATCGTGAAGGTGCCTGGATCCAGGATGTGACGATTCCACAGGGCATACCCAGGGCACAGTCCACTTTAAGCTTTCTACTGCAGAAAAGTTCCATTTGGAAAGCTCTATGGATGGCGGAGAATGGACCATTGGCCAACCCCACCTTGTCCCAATGATATTCGGGTTACAGTCTTCAGACCTAGATGTTTCCTTTTATGTCAGTATTGCCAAGACCGAAAACTCCCTTAAAATGCGGGGACTATATATTTATATATAAAAAAAAAGCCTGAGGAAACACCCAGCCTACACTAAATGGATCCTGGTTCAAACCCTGCCTGCTGACATCACACTTCGTTCTGTGGGTTGTATGGGCAAGGATGCAATAATCTCCAATTCTAAAGGAATCTACAAAGCATGTAAAATAGAAACTTTGAAAGGTCAGATTTTCATGTACCCCCCTCACTAGGTCTGGGAAATGCATTGGATGACATTCAGCAGTTTTTTTTTTAGTTGGAGATACAAAAATAAAAATTTGTGTGAGCAAAATAAAATATAATGTATCATTGTTTCTTAATGTTTCTTTAAGAATGTTAAAACCCACAAACACTTTATATTGTTAGTGACACACTGACATAACAATTATTACACAGAAAACAAACGTAAATCCCAAATATAATAGACACAGCTACTGTTGTTGACATACAAATAAACTTGAAAACAAACACAATACAAAACATAAGAAACAAATCACCCTTTTAAATACATATTAACAGTGGCGTAGCTAGGATGGGGGGAGGAGGGGGGAGAAATTAAAAATCCCCCTAGGCATCCACATCAAAATCGCCAAAACAACCACCTATTATGGTGTGTGTTATGTGATATAGAAAACGAGTATTTATTGTTTGTGGTAGAGAGAAAGGATTAATTTAATGTAAGTCTTGTAGAATGATGCAAGATAAGCGGCACTGTAGTAAGGTGTGTTAAGTATGCCAAAGGATTCTAGGATGCCAGAGTGTAAGGACACTTTTTTATTGTGAGTTTAATTTGTTCAGATATCCGTTTATTTCATTTCATCTCAAATTTAATTTGTCTATATTTTAATAAAAATTCTATTTAGTTTTGTTCACAAGGAAGTTATTTAAAGTTGTATAAGTTAAAACATGGTGGAGCCTACCAGCAGTTTGGTGCTGTATGTCAACGACCATCACCACCACAGCACCAAAACATCCCCCTTCCCTTCTATGAATGTACATTACATGTTATTGTAAGACATATTTCCTTTAGGAGTGTAAGAATATTATTTATCTAATTATTAATACATCATTTACTTTTTTAAGAAAGAATTCTACCATTACTAATTCTTCAACCTACCCCGGCAGGCACCTTATAGCCACCTAAAACTACATCAACTGGCAGAATCCTGGTGTTACCAATTGCAACTGGTGGGATCATTCTATATTCAAGAAAAATCAAACTTTTATTTTCATGTAAAAATAATACTGTTTTATAAAAAAAATATAGCACAACAAAAAATTAAAAACTGATTTAATAACATGATTGTTGCAAATAATAATAATTTTCCAGTCCAATACAAATTGTTAAAATCATTCACACTAATGTGTCAATCTCCAACACATAAAAACTAATTAGATATTAGTAAGTGACAAGTCTTATTTTCTTCCTTCACAAAAGTACATTTCTTAATATTACATTACATCACATGTGTTATAAAGTTGGGTCTCTTGTGAAATCCAGAATAAGTCAAAATAACAGTCTGAGTTGTAAAGCGCTTGGCTTCCTAGCTGGGTGGTCTTGAGTTGAATCTCGGTGAAGAATGGGATTTTAAATTTTGAGTTTTTTAGGATGCTCCTCTGTCCACCCAACTTCATTTGGGGGAAGTAAGGGCCAGTGCTGACCAAATGAGACTATTGTTAACCGTCAGCCATAGAAATAGATGATCTTTACATCACCTGTCCTATTGATTGCTAGATCTTAAATGGGTACTTTAGTTTTACTTTTTAAATAGTCTATTTATGAAATTTGTTCTTCAAATTTAGCAAATGTTTTTCAATTTTGTGTTTTATTTAGCAAACTTTACCTAAACGATTCTTTCAGTGCAGCTTTTAAATACACCATCTTTGATAACGCCGTAGCGGTCAAAGGTCCTTCTGGTCCCAATAGGTCTAAAATTTCTTTTCTTAAATTTTGCTGCTTCTCTTGATGTTTGGCCAAATTGTATAAAAAGACTTGAGTGTATTTGGCAGTCTGAAATCAAGAATTGTAAGTGAAGGCAATGAAAATATTTCCTTGCATAAAATATAACTTGCTTTGGCTTTTTGTTAAGTTTGCATTCTGTTGCCCTTAAGAATGTAAATTTAGCGTAACACTGGAGAATGTTTTTTTTTTATTTAAAAAAATAACTGTTCTAACATAAAATAAACATAAAACAGCAAGAAATAACTGAAACATGTATATAAAGAAAGTAGAAAAGTTGCACATGTTAACATCTCCCACAGTGCACTATCGTCCCATAGTCTTTGGAAGAGTACAATTATTTTTAAATAATTAAGCAGACCTAGCTGTGACCTACATAATGTGTCACCTCTGGTTCAGAAGAAGCAGTTGTCTGTATGTGTGTTTGCACACTGAATGTTCCAAATTAAATGTTTCTCTGTAGTTCTGTATTTATTTTTCAGTTTATGCATGCTTTGGTTTATGACTACTTATGCACTAGAATAATAGAAAGATAATACAGTTCAACAAATTAAAGTTCTTGAATGTGGGTCCCATTGTGAAAGCTCTCTCTTTCCTCTATCATCTATGTGAAACAATAATTAAGAATATAGGTTAATTCATCCTGGGTTGAATCATGATGAAAGCTGGGATTTGTACCTATGGGATCTTTTGAGCCTCTCTGAGTCCACCCTGCTCTAATGGGTACCTGACATTATTTTGGGAAAAGTAACAGCAGTTGGTTTTTGTGTCCCATTTTAAAAATGTTTCTTCAAAGTTCAAACGGTTTTCATCTAACAAAAAATTTATTCACACAAACCAAAATTCAGCATAAAATCTTATATTTAATGATAGTTTTTGAGGTATGTTGTCAAAACAACTCATACTCCTACAAAGTAAGTGTTTTTAAAGGCATCCTAAATGTGTTGTTTTTTTCCTCCAAGTAGATTAGTATATTTTT